CAACAGGCAACCCCAGAAAGCAGTTCTGTCCTTAGATTCTTTGAGGCTCCTCCCTCAAAATTTCAGTGTGGCTCTTGGCACAAATCCCAAACAGTTACACTGTGACCTGTACCCAAGTCTAATCAAGTTCCCACTGTTAAAGACATGCCTTAAGCCAGACTTTCAGTTCTCAGATCACACCCTGGCTTTCCCATTTTAGGATACCACCAAGTCCTGTGGGGGAGAGTTCTTCCTCACTGAGGTGAGCTGCAAATGCTGCACTGTCCTGCCACGAGGTTGGACTGTGAAGTATAGAAATCTAATGCTGAAAACATGTTGTGAAGGCTGGGATGTAGCTCAGTGATACAGCAGTTGCGTAGCCTGCCCAAGGCCCTGCACTCAATCCCTAGCACAGCCTCCCTGCCCCCCCCCAGCACAGTATTATTATATAAACATGCTAGGAAAGAGTAGGGGTGGAGAGGTATCCCAAAACACACCACACTGGTAGACTGATTCCTTCAAACTGATGAGAACAACAGGTGTGTAACAGGAACTTTCCACGAACTTTCTTAAAAGGAGTCCTCGTAAGATGACCCATCCTCATAAAAACCTTCCCTGGAATTCCCACCCATCAGACACAATCAAGCCCTGGGAGGAAGAGACTAGGCCTTCACATCTGTCCCCGACAGGCTGTTACCTGTCACCTGAGGGCTGCATACACGGTCTCCTCTTGTGTGGAGAGGGATGCTCTAGCATTTGTGTTATTCACTGAATCACTGTATCACTGAAAGCTCTAAAAGGTTTTCCATCACTGGCCTACATCCAGAAGAAAAGAAATAGTAGGACAACGTATGTGACACCAAGAGAGCTCCTAATGAGAGGATACCAAAGTGAAGACATTAATTATAGAAACAAAGTAAGGCTTAGATAAAAAGTAGATGAAATGCAGTGAATCTTGGAGCACTGCATGCCCACAAGTGGTGATATGTGAATGAAGTCAGTGGTCTAATCAACGATTCTCTTCACTTAAGTTCTGACACAGGCACTGCAGTTAAGGAAGATGTGACTACTGGGGGACAGGGAAACACTGCTATCTTTGTAGTGTCTGTACATCTAAATCATTGCAAAACTTAAGATTTAACACTAGCATAGTTATAAGAGAAACTGCATACCTCTACACAGCAAACAACTGCCCTCAATTATTTCCTCAAGTTTATAAACCCAAATCTCCAAGTCCATAAGGGCCTAATCTTGGGACAATAGCAGGACACACCCCTTTCTGCTTTCTGTCTGTCTCCTCGGGTCTTGGCATCCCTTCCTGAGGATGACTCCTCCCCCACATTACACACCAGGGGGTCTACTTTCCTGACCACCTGAGCCCTGGCCAGGCTGCTTAGGTCCTCTGAACTGCAGCACCCCGACCTGCACCACTCTGGGGCCCTCCTGCTCAGCTATTACACAGACATTGTCCCTACATGCACAGTTGTTATGAGGAGTAAATAAACATGGGTGAGCAATAGTCTGTGAACTTAAGGTCACTCTGCCAGCATTAATTATTATGACTTCCTGCTGAGCTAAGAACTGTGCTAATCTGGCACCCAACAAATTGGGGTAAACGAATCTCACTGGGCTGGATGGTTCTGTTAGTTGCCTCTTGGCCATTTCTTATCATGCCCTATATTAAAAATGACTCTGCAAAGATGTTTCAGCTCCTTGAATCCTTTTCTCCAGTGTCTACTGAGCAAACGCAGGCCTTTGATCTTCTCGCTTCTGTTTTTCAAACTGTGTGGATCCACCTCCAGGACAAGGCACACTCCCCATGCTCTGTGCTGCAGCTGCTCTCTAGCACCTGCCTGTCCGCTGTGCTCACTCCTTCACTCTCCTGACTTCTTTTGTGCCTCTCTCCACTGAGAAGAAAATCTTCACTTGCCCCTCCTGCCCTCTCCGATGACTTTCTTGTATTTCCTTTCACAGCCGCTTCCTGACAATACCTACTAACGTTTCACCTCTCACTTTTCTCAACCTAAAATCTGCCCTCCTCCCTTAGACCTCAGGGCCTCCCTAAACAAGGGCAACTGCACCACAGCTCTGGATTCATGTCTCTCTTCCTCTCTAACACAAAGCTGGCACCCTGGCCCTGAGCTCTTGGGTCAGCATGAACCTCTACCACCTTGAGCCTACTCATTTAGATCTGTTTCTCTAACCTCTCAGGTAGAGAATAACATACCCTGGCCAACCCAACTCTCCACAATCACTCCTAACCTCAACAAATGCCCACTACTTTTGCTTCTTTGCTGAAAGACTCAAATGTTGTCTATCAAAATGTGTCTTCCAGAAGGTTCTTCTTATTTGGTCTTACCATGAAGGCTCTTGTCTAGGTTCTGTCATCATCATCTGGAGCTCTTTCTCAAGCTCCATTCCACCATCCCTACTGTATGCTTCAGAAGCCCTCAACTTGTATCTATATCATTTGTAACACTTCTTACCTGGTTTCTTTTTGGCAGGTAATTCCCACTTTATTACTTTCCTTAGACCATTGCCAAGGAGCTAGGCTAATACCTGCAAAATCTTCCAGTGGCTTCCCACAGTCTGTGGAATGAAGCCTAATGTCACAGGCTTTCAAATTTCCAAGTTCACCTCGCAGACATGCAGCTTGTGCTCCACATTTTCCAAACTCATGTCAGTTTTCTGTGCCTAGATGCAGACCCATGGCACAGTTTCTCTACCCTTTGCCTAGAACACACCATTGACTCTTACCTACCTGGTTGGATTCTCAGGAATTATTTAACTCCAAGTTCAATCCTCACTTCCTGCTTAAAGCTTTCCTTGCATTCTCCAAGGGGAGTCCAGCCAGGCCTTCTATGCCAACAAGTCACGTACAAATGTCTAATAAATCTAACTTCTGGATGGTTTGGAGATGAAGGTGAATTCTTCAAGGAGGTGGTCCTTGTCATTGTCCTTGTCATCTTTTGAGTCCCACTCCTGCTTGTAAGGACCAATCTGGAACATTCCCCAGCAGGTGAGAAGCACTTTTTACTTACTAATTCTCATGAACACAGCATCTTCCCTCAGTCTAACAATGCGTCCTGAACACAATGGCAATGTCATGTTAATAATACCATTATAAAAAAGAACACAAAATGGCAATGTATGGGAGCCAACTGTAACAGCAGGGTATAATACACCTCCTCCACTTCCTTTATTAATTCCCCAAGCATTTTCCCTTTACTGGGATTTGAACAGAAAAGGCACTTAAAAGGACCAAATATTAACCAGTCTCTAACGTGCACACTGATTTTAAAATAGCCCTTGACCTGGAATATAGGCACATTCAAACACACACCCTGATAAGAAAGGAAAGATAGAGGATAGAGTTCAATGTCTTGAAGCTTGCCAAGGATTCCTTGTGATGAACTTGGAAAGTACAACAATACTTCAGCACAGTCTGAGTATGCCCACCGTGGTCTAGGATATCTTAACAAAACAGGTTACATACAGCAACATTTACTCTCAGGAAACAAAACCCAGGATGTGTATTAATCAAAACCGAAAGCACATCTTTTATAAATAAGTAAGCAGAGAGGTAACCCAGTCACAGATAGCTACAGACAACAATTCTAATGAGCTGAATCACACCACAAAAGGAGTTTCCAGTTTGAATATATTATCATGTTAAAAATAATACTAATTCTAAAGGTGTTTTACTCATGGTTTCCAGAAGCGTACTTTTGTCTTAATAAAAGCTTGCTAGTCTCCTCTAGGTAAGGAAGTCAAATGGGTAAGCTGGTATTTTCTTGATCCTAAAATTTAACAATGCTAAAACAAAATAAATCCCAACCTAATTAAATCTATTTTTGGTCTAGTTTCCAAGGCAGTTTTCACAAAGACTATTCTCAGCCTACTGCTTCTAGCTTCCTAACTCCAACCTTCAGTAAGCTGGAAACTTGTTCTGTGAAATTCCTGGGCACATATGTTCTATCACAGACTTTCATTTTAGTCCACCAAGTGATCAAAAGTGGGTAAGAAAGTGTCACCCCACTGATCCCCAAGGGTTTTAGCACAAAAATCACTATTATATTTGTTGTTTGATGATCTTATGCGACATGTTCCTACCAAGACTGTGTAACCTGGGTTTCATCAAGCTCATCAACTTTTCAAGTGGAACCTTCCCCGAGTCAGAGCTGCTACAGAATCTCAGTAATGATATAAACCAGAAGAGAGGAAATGAGGAAACTTGAATTCCATGTCAAAAAGCCCTGAACTTCACCGTGGACAACCCACTTCACTTCTGTAATTCAAACTGCAATACAGGCATCGTCTTCCAAAAAAAAAAGAATGCTTCTAAGAATAAGGTGCTTTGAGCCTTTCAAACAAAATATTATAAAACAAGGTTTTATAATTTCCTAAGCTATGTAGTCCATAAGGTCCTAAACCTACACTTCTTACAAGGCTCATACCAGCACCAGGGCACTTCTAAATGCTCCCTAACCCGACTTTTCCCACCCCTGAGTGGAATCATGGGACTGCTTTACTTATTCCTGAAGTGGTGACGAGGCAGCGGGCGTGTGGAAGGTGATCTATAGGCAGAATGCTCTGTCAGCCGCGGACGGGAGAAGCTAGGAGACAGCAGTGTCTTTTGCGAGTGACAGTTCTCAACCTGCAAACTCTGTTGTTATGGAAAAGCACCGGGACGCGAGCGCCTGGGCAGCTCTGGACTCTGGTTCCCGGATACCAGACCAGGCAGCGCCGAGGTGAGGGTCTGAAGCGCAGGTGCAACTGAGCGCCTGCACCGCAACCGCAGTCCCCGGGTGACCGCAGCCACGGGGTGACCACTGCACCCCGGTTCCGCCCGGCCGAGGTCCCGCTGGGACCAGACAACTAGAGCTCGCGGCGGCCGTGCAGCGCATCCAGGCCCGCCGCAGTGATCCCCAGTCCCGACCGACACCGGGGTCCCGCCCTCCCGGTGCCGACCCATTCTGGGGTGCGCCCCCGCCCAGTCCCGCCCGCTCGCCGCGCCTCACTTTGTCGCTGGTGCTCTCGGTTTCGTGATCGCCGCCTGCGGCGTCCCCTTCGCGGGGCGGTGACACCCCAGGCCCTGGACCTGGGCCGCCCCCGCGGTGCCGCAGCTCCAGCATCTCCTAGCCGGGTCACCCCGGAACGGCATCAACGAGCGCCGCGCGCCGGAGGCGTAGCCAGGTGCGCGTCCCACGCAGGACGGAGCGGAGCCGGAGGCGGAGGACCAGGACGCGAAAGGCTCCGCCCCGCCCACCTGGCGACCCCGCCCTGTCACGCGCGCAGGAACCGCCCCGCCCCGCCCCCTGCTGCACTGCGGTTCCCAAGTCCCGCCCCGTGGCGTCATCCGCCCCGCCCCCCGCTCCGCGCACCTAGGTGCTGCTGCCCGCCAGGTGCACCAGGCTTGCCAGGTGCGGGAAAAGGCGCTGGCAAGGCCGCGCGGTGCGTGCACGTTGGCGCCGCGGTGTGGGGCTGCGGGAGCTGCTCCGGTGCCTGCCCGGTGGCAGCATACCGCACAGCTCCTCCAGCCAAAGTCCGCAAGCTCCTCCGAAGCACCCCACACCGGTTCCTATCCTGACACCTCGATTCTCCTCCAGCGGCACCCTCCCTGCACGCTCCCTCAGGGTCACCCGAGCCAAGCGCTGGTGACCTGGAAACCAGTCTTGCAGGACCCGCCCTTGCTCTTGGGCAGCCGCATTCCATGCCCGTGCCATCACCTGGGAAAGGGGGCGCGGGCCTACCTGGGCCCCAGGTGGGCGGTCCTCTAGCTGAGCGCGCGCGTGAGCGCGCGCGCGCGCGCGCACGCACACACACACACACACACACACACACACACACACACACACACACGATCTGTGCGCGCACAAACACACACACACGATTTGCCTGCCGAACCCCGGACTGTGACTCCTATGAAGCTCACACTGCCTGTGAGGCAAGGGCGCAAAGGCGACTCACAGGTCCTAGGCAACTCTGCGCCCGGCTCTGCTCACTCTGCAACCCGGAAGGGCACCAGTTCCATGTCAGTTCCATGCAGGTCCTGTGAGGCGTAGTAGTTCTCCGGACCCACTTAGCCACCTGGTCATTACTGACACAGGCGCTCTCTCTCTCTCTCTCTCTCTCTCTCTCTCTCTCTCTCTCTCTCTCTCTCTCAGAGGCCTTCCTACACATAGGACAGCACACTGAAGAATTCCCTTATACAAACAGGTCAACAATATAAATGTCTCAGCCACACGTGATAGTGCAGGCCTGTGATTCCAGCACTCAGGAGGTTGAGGGAGGAGGATCATTGCGAGTTGGAGATCATCCTGGGCTACAAAGTGAGCCCAAGGTCAGTCTAAAATACAAAGTGAGACCCTGTCGCAAAATGACATGTGAAAAGTCTGCAGTGTTTCATCATTCTGCCACTTTAGCAACAAATGAGTGAAAGGAAACCAAAAATCATGTAGGATGCACTGAAAAGCAGGACACAAGGACATCATGTGACCTTAAGCTTTTAGTCTGGGTTGCCGCATTTTTACAAGAATGTAGAGAAACCATAAATTGCTCCTTCTGGGGAGCAGAGTAGCAAAAATGACAGAAAAAGATAAGACCCAAGGCTGGTGGGTAAGAGTGGTTTTCTTCACGAACAGGCCAGGCACGAGTAAGTAGCTCACCCAATTCTTTCCAGCTGTTGGAAGGCCTGAAGGAAGGGCTGCCTTCCCTCCAGCCAGGAAGACAGTCTAGAGCACACCCACCCCAGCACAAAGGAGCTCTACTGAACTTCATGGGAGGCAGGAGCCAGGATTCTGATCTACTGATGCCAGTAGCTGGCCCTGCTGCCTCAAGTGCATCTAAGATCTCTGTTTCCAGCTGTAGAAGGCAAAGTAAAGACGAAGGCCTCTGTGCCTCCCCATGCTCACACCACCAGAAGCCCCCTCCGTGCCTCTGATGCAGGGATGATATCCTAACCTCCAAATACAATATAAGGGAAGCAGTCTAAGTCCCAACCTGCCAGATGTCCGATACGCTGAGTTAATGCTCTCCAAAATCAAAGAATGATTTAAAAAAATTTTTTTTCTCACTTTTTTCTTTCATTTTTATGTGTTTGGTACTAGACAGCTGGGATTCCTAGTGACTCTCCTGTTTTCAGCCTCCACAGTGTGGGGATTATGGGTGTGGGCCACCACACATGGATTCTCCCACCTGCTCAGCGTGCCCTAGGGGTAGGGCCAACGCCGCCTGTGGGAACAGGGAGCCAATTCTAGTCCCTGCGCTTGCCAAAGCAGGTGTTTAGTCTACTGAGCTATCTTGCCAAACCTGGAAGAATGAATTTTAGGGAACAATGGAAGATAAAAGTAGGACTATTTATTGAGGAAAGGATAGTTTTTGTCTAAGAGATAGAAGGAAGCCCAGAAAATTTGTTGCCCACGAGTTCACCTTTCATAGGAAGTTTTATAGAACAAAATCATGAGGCAGGTATGAAATCATGAGGTAGAGTGTAAGGTGGGACAAACTATGATCAACCAATAAGATTGCAAGTACAGTTGTGTAGGTAATATTGAGCCAATGGAGAAGAAGCAAGCCTCAATGCAAGTTTGCATAGAAAACACAAAGACCTTTCCTGGAAGGGATGGTCAAGGTCTTGGTCCTCCATCCAGGTGATCTATGTCTATTTAGAATATTAATCATTATTGTTTATCTTTGAGGAAATAGGAGTAGTCACTTCATCTTTGTCTTGAGGCCTGAACTTCAGTCAGTGTAACCCCAGGCACAGTTATTATGTGTTTTCATCTTCTGAACTGACTCCTTCAAGGGTCTAGCCCTGTCTGGTTGCCTGTGTTGTTTCTCCCTAATTTAGCTGTTGATAATATTTCCCCCTCTGAAGAGGTGCCACTAAGTGCCATGTGGGGCAAGAGGTGGGTGATGACTGTTCTGGCTACTTCTGGCTAAAGGGAGTTGTAGTTGCAATTGGCAGTCAGAGATACTCCATAGAAGGTCTATCTAAAGGCCCTCAGCAGATTCCAGGTGTTCTTGTCTTGGGTAGGTGTACAGTTCTACTTCTAGTGGAGACAAAACCAAAGAAACAGTCAGGGTCAAATAACAAGATCAACAAGTTTATAATGAATACAGCCAACAAAAGTTTCCGCTAGGAAGAGTTAATAATGGCCTCCCAAAAGAGAGTAAAGATAAAATACAGGGAATTTCAGAATTCAACATAGCATTAACCTATTGGGTTTTGTGTGTGTGTGTGTGTGTGTGTGTGTATGTTTTTGTTAGCCAATGGGTTTTTTTTCGTATTTTTCCCCCTCTTTTTTATTTTTCAATAGATTGCAAATCGAAAATGAATTATTTACAAACATAACCGAATATAACAATAAAAACTGTTGATCAGTCATAACAGTTCACTGTGTCAAAACCAAGAAACCTATATTCATTTAATTAGAGTTCTCAAAGTAGAAAGGAGTAGGCAATAACTATTTAAAAATTTAAAATTTCTGAATTTAGTTCAACTTATTTTTTTGAGATATATTATTTGCATAAAACTTACAGTACAATGATGAATGCAGACTATTTACATAAGAAAAAATAGAATTCAAGTAGACACATTATAAAAAATCAGTAAGTATTGTCTTGATAAGGAAATGAATGAAACTAAAATGTAAAGAAATTTTTCACGCAAGGCTATTGGAGTCTTTTTCACTAATTCTAGGTAATAAATCTCTATAAATATTTTAGAATGGTAGTGAAACTTTGTATAGAGATCCATATTTCACTTAAAACTGAGGTTAGGGACTTAAGATGAACATTTTTTAATATGCAAATAAAAAGTTTTATTTTATTTTTTTGCCATAGTTTTATTGATAAATAGCAATGAGACAGTTTCAAATCAAATCAGTAGGACAGTTTCAATAATTAACACACTGCATACATTCTTCTTAGTGGTTAATTGCTATACAAGAGGCAGACTTGATATCCTATTTACAAACACCATTAGAAGAAATCATCCTATTCATTAAGAGAATGTAACTATATATCTATCCAAACCACTTTGAATACACAGATACAAAATGGACATTCATCTGTATACCCTTTTTCTTAAGTTCCATTATTTGAATATTATAGGTGTGTAAACTCAGCAAAATATTCTAAAAGAGTCCAGTATCCCATCGTAGTATTGGGTCTTCCGCTTAACTGGCAATGTCAGAAATTGTTGACCTGAGTCCCCCACAGCTCAACATAACAGCATGGATTTATTTCTTATATTTCATTTTTATATTTTTCTTCTGGATGGTTAAGACCAAGGTAAAAGAGGACCTGTGCAACAAGAGTTGTAGCTTTTTGGTCTGAGAAGGTCAGTGAAAT